ATTGCCTCCTTGCTAGAATCTTTCCCTTGACTGGTGGTTTGAAAGAAAATGGCTGCACAGGCGCACAGAGAGTGTGGGCTTGTTGGGCTAAGTGTGGCCTTGTTTGAGGAAGTGTGTTGCTGTGGGGGCAGGTTTGGAATTCTCCTATGCTCAAGCTATGCCCAGTGTGATACAGTCTTCCTCTGCTGCCATGAAGACAATGTATTAAACCTCTGAAACTGTAAGTCAGCCCCAATTAAATGTTTTCCTTTATAAGATTTGCTGTGGGCTGAGAGGATCCAGAGGGAATCTTCATCTGGTGACAGATGGAGATAGAGACAGAGACCCACAGGAGTGCACTGGACTGAGCTCCCAAGGTCTAATTGAAGAGCAGAAGGAGGGAGAATATGACCAAGGAAGTCAGGACCACGAGGGGTGCGTCCACCCACTGAGACAGTGTGCCTGACCTAATGGGAGCTCACCAAAGCCAGCTGGACTGTGACTGAACGAGTATGGGATCAAACTGGACCCTATGAATGTGGCTGACAATTGAGGCAGACTGAGAAGCCAATGATAATGGCACTGGGATTTGTCTCTACTGCATGTACTGGTTTTTTGAGATCCTAGTCTATTTGGATGCATACCTTCCTAAGCCTGGATGGAGTGGGGGGGAAGGACCTTGGACTTCCCACAGGGCAGGGTATCCTGCCCTCTCTTAGGACTGGAGGGTGAGGGGGGAGGGTGAGGGGGGAAGCAGGAGGAAAGTGGGAGGATGGTGTAGGAGGGTCTCTTTCTATGTGTTGCTTTCATTGGTCAAATAAAGAAACTGCCTTGGCCTTTTGATAGGGCAAAACTTAGATAAGCAGGGACGACAGGACTGGATGCTGGGAGGAAGAAGGCAGTGTGGCAGACGCCATGGCTCTCCTCTCTGAGATGGACGATGGTTAGACTCATGCCTGTAAGCCACAGTCAAGTGGCGATACACATTAATGGCCATGGGTTAAACAAATATGTAAGAGTTAGCCAATAAGAGGTTAGAACTAATGGGCCAGGCAGTAATCTAATTAATACAGTTTCCATGTAATTATTTTGGGGGCTAAGCTAGCCAGGCAGCCAGGAGCCAGGTGGCTGGGAGCTGGACAGGACACAGCCTGCGGCTCTCCTTACAACAGGAGGAAGGGAGAAAGTGGAAATTTTGATTCCTATTATTTATAAAGTGATAAAAAATTATCAGAGAAAAAAAAACAATAGCAAAACAGCAAAAACAGTTGCTGTGGTCATTGTGTCTCTTCACAGCAATAGAAACCCTAAGACAACTGACCTGGTGAAACCACCCGTGAGCCTTTGGGAGATTACTGAGGCCCAGATCCCAATCTAGACTCTAAAATAAAAGAATCTTGTGGGGGTTAGGATTCAGTCACTACTTGTTTTAAAGGTACCTCAGCTGCCTGTCTGCTTTGGAGCTTCTTACTCTGTTCTTCTGATTTTTCTATCTGCTTTTGTCTTTTTGTGTGTTCTTGGGTGAGATGCATTTTTAATTCTTTTTTTTTTCTTGTAATTTTCACAGGATTTCAGAAGGGAGAGGATTTAAGTAGGTGTGTTTAATCTATCATGTTTAATTGGAAGTCTGCAAACTTGAAAAATCAATTTAATTAAATTTTAATATGAAAGTTTACACATTCACTATATAAATTGAAAGTGCTTTACACTTTCCATTCCTCAGTGACAACTGCTGGCGTGTAGCACTAACAGTGTCTTAGTCAAACTTACTGTTTAATTATAGCAACCAAATTATGTCCCCTCCCCCTCTGCCCCACCGTTTCACTCATGCTAGGCAAATACATTCATTTTCTCTCATCTGGAGATTTATTTCTTTATTTTCTGTGGTCCTGGGAATTGAACTCAGGACCCTGGCCACGCTAAGAGTGTGCATTATGACTGGGCTTCACCTCCAACCCCTTGAAAATTAAATATCACAGTCTTTTTGCTGTACTTTGCTCAACCTTTAAAATTTTGTAAATTACTGATTACTTTGTGTATGTTTGTGTGCCTGTGTGTGCATGCACATGTACTCATGCCACAGCACACATGTGGAGGTTAGAGGACATCTTGGTGGAGCTGAGTCATTCCTTTCACCAGTATGTAGTGTGATGATCCAACACATATCATCAGGTGTGTGTAGCAAACACACATTTTACTCCCAGAACCATCCCATTGGCCACATTCTGCTCCACCTCAGTGCTTTTGGGTGACTTTCTATGTTCCTGGGTTGTTCCCCAAAATACCCTTCCTTTGGGGAGTTCCCTGTACAATTTTTAATTCCCAACCTATGAGCCAACTTTTAGTTTTCTCCTGGACAGAGTTAATGCTTCCTACTTTGTGCCTGATATTCCTTGATTCATATGTAACTTTACTGATTCTTGCCCTATCTGGACATTATTGATCTTCAGTGTGTATGAACTACAAATTTGAACTGGTGAGGACTATGTTGGTCAACTCTATGTCATCACATCTCTGTGCTGTGGTCACCTTCTCTCTTTATCTTTTTTTTTAAAGCTAGTGAAGAGCCCAGAATATAAAAGTCATAAACCTAGACACACTCTGAGGAAGTTGAAGCCGACAGCCACTGTTAACTTGTAACAATTAATTTGTGCTGTAAGAGCTGACATTCTGGCAGCTGCCTGTGTACAGAGGCAAACTTTTAACAATTGCTTCCTGCCTTCTAGCTAGGCAGTTACTACAGGCAAAGGTTAGCTTCTAACTATGTCCTCTATCAGGGACTCCCTGCTTTTAACTGCCCCTCTGTGGAACTCTATTTTCTGCCTTGCAGTTTTTCAGGGACAGTGAAAAGCAGCTGCCTCATCCGCAGCCTTCTGCGAGCATCTTAAGTTAGCATCCTATGATCAAAAGCTGTAAATCTTAAAATGTAACGTGACTTTAAGCCTAACCTCAAGATTGTAAAAGCTCTTTGACCCATACCTAATGCTTAATTTTTACTATAAGAAGAGGCTCACCACTGGTTTCTATTGAACTGTGGCCCCAGTGAGCTGGAGGTTTCCTTCCTTCCTTCCTTCCTTCCTTCCTTCCTTCCTTCCTTCCTTC